AAGGTAAGATTCAGTATCTGAAATGCCTTATGCTTACGTTATGCGTCAGCCTGATCAGTCACAGCTAAGAGGGCACACCAAACTGCGTTCAAAAATCTACACAAGTTTAAATTAACTGTTCATTTATTGGCAACCTATTTGAAGGCAGCATGATTTAAATATTCACAAGCAGCGTCTGCTCTCCTTAGCTGTGCGGCATACAGGCAGTACACAGAATACTTTCACTTTGCCTTCACAGGACTGTTGTTGTCTGCGTTAGAGCTAGCGCCCAGCAGGTAACGATAACACTGTTTGAGTTCTATAATGCTTAAAGTTTCTCTCGTTAGCTTGTTCTGATGCAGTGTAGTACTGTGCAGTACTGTGTAACTACTTTAAAAACCATCTCATTACTAAAGTGGTTATTGCCAGTTATTTAACTCTGAACAGCACATTTACGCCGATGGCTTAGAGCAGACTTAATTTACAAATAAGCTTTTGCATTTAACTGATCACACACATTTATTTATGTATTTCTTTGATTTTATAGTCCTGTCTGCTACCTGTTTACACTTTTAATACCTGTGTTTTGTGCATGCTGCTGTATTTATTCATTACTCTGCTTAAGTGCTGGTGTATGTAAACACAGCTTATGTCTGTAAGGTGCTATACAAATAAAGATTATATTATTATTATTTCAAATGTGTTGCCCATTGACCTATCCACTGTATTAATAAAGTGTAACATTAATTAATATATTCATTATTATTAATATATTAAACTTATTCTTGTAATTATTCCACGTTTTCTCCCCAATATTAGGCCTATATATAAATAATATTAATAACAGCGATGTTCCCTCTCAGTGTGACGCTCCATCTGCGCTCCATGGCTTCATCAGAGGTCAGCATGCAGGAAATGGGTGAGGTGGTCATCGTTACCATTCCAGAGTCTGTGGGCGAGGACCTTCCATCTGTGGTGGAGGACGATAAGGCAGTGCTGGTGACCGCAGAGCTGACTCCTCAGCCGGGGTAACGTGTGCACACAGCCTGCGGGTCAGCTGCAGAGACACACTGAACTGAAACTGAGTGTTTGAGCTCAGTTTGCTAAATTGAAACTTAAACACTGTGCGGTTCTTCATGTGGTTTTGCAGGGAGGACGTCCTCACAATGGTGCCAGAGGAAGCAGAAGCTGGAGCCAGCAGAGCAGATTCACTGTCAAAGGAAGAGACTGTCATTGGTAATGTGACCTGCAGGTTACATTTCATATCCAGAAAGAACTGTCCTATCTTTGTGTTAATCATTTTTATAATGTTGTAAATCGTCTTCAGTTTGTTCGCTCAGATAAAAGAACTGGATGCGTGTCTGAGGGAGCTTCTGTCTGTGTCTCTGCAGTGAAGTTAACTGAGGAGGTGGATGTGGAAGCTGACGTCTTCTATCCGATCACCTGTGGAGACGCCAAAGCCACGCTAGTGTGGAAGAAGTTTGTCTGCCCTGGGATCAACGTGAAGTGCGTCCAGGTATGTTAGAAACAGCAGAGGCTGTGTGACAGCAGACGTCTGAACACATTATTTAAAGCCATGTAGAGGAAATGGATCAGCAGCGGCTGTTGACGGCTTTCTTTCCCCTCTGATCAGTTCAATGAGCAGCTGATCAGCCCGAAGGAGTTTGTGTGTTTAGCAGGGAAATCCACTCTGAAGGACTGGAAGAGAGCTATCCGCCTCAACGGCACCATGCTCAGGTCTGAGTCTCACTTGGTTTGATGTTACTGGATACCAAAAACATGTTTATTTTATTGCACGTTTGATGGAAATCAAACATCTTCAGTTCTTTTTATCTATTAGCTCTTGATCATTTTGCAGAAATATTGCAGGAGTTTGACAGAAGGCCTCAGGATGGCGCTGTTCCATCACACACGGCGGACAGTAAAGCCCGGTACATCCTGACGTTGTGTCTTCTTAAGTCTTTCATCTTATTTCATTTCACAGGAAGATCATGGACTCCGGTGAACTGGACTTCTACCAGCACATAAAGGTGTGCTCCAACACCTGCCGCAGCACTAAGATAGACCTGGTGGGAACCAAAGTGTCCATCGGCGGTGACCCGTCTGCCGAACTGCTTCCTGCCACCCCCTCATCTGCTGATCGTGAGTCCCACAGCCATCAACTGATCTCTGATTCAGACACAAAATGATTTAAAACGAACGAGTTGAACTAATGATGAGTAGGGCTGAACGATTTTGGAAAATAATCCAATTGCAATTTTTTTTTTACCAATATTACGATTGCGATTTAATATGTGATTCATTTTTAAGCTCTTTACCTCCTTATTATATATAATCTTAGATATTAGATAGATTATTACATAGATTAAACATACACTGTTCTTTCTTGTGGGTCAGGCCTATGTTATGATGAAATTAGGTGATGCAAGAATTGCATGAATTATTATTATGAGCAATGGTGTAAGTGGTGAAAGTATCAAATTATAATAATATGAGAAAGATAATTTGAGAGTCCTGTCTTGGCATTAAATAATATGATAGAATATCATCAGGTCAGACCACAAGAAAAACTAGGTTCACAACAGTGGATTATACATTAAGCGCTCAATACTAAACCCACAGTTCAACCACCAATTAATGAGTCGATCTCAAAAACCTCAAAAATACTCAGTTTGAGGTTCAATTGAAAAGTTGGCCAACGAAAATAAAACCAAGTGATGCCTCTCGTGTTTAATAGACAAGCTTGGTAATTCTCCGACAATGCTGGAGCAAAAAGAAAAAAACTCAACAGAAACTCAAAGACAGGCGAAGCTGGGACATCTGACACTAAAACATGTGAAATGATTTAACTTTGCGATCAAAGCTGTGTTTGAGAGATTTTACGACACCACTTGTAGTTTAACCACCTTCAGCATCATATTTAATAATAATAATAAAAAATTGATTTTATATAGCACTTTATCTTTCTTACTCTAATCACTTCAACAATGATCAGTGTGTGGAAACCGTGTGAGCTCGATGTAGAACAAAATAACATCATCAGCAACGCAGGAATGCAGGAGACTGAGACTTATGTCCATGAATCTGTTGCCCCAGTGCATGCTGGGAGGCTGCCCAGCACACCAACCCCATGAAAGTTTAATAAGCCAATCATATGAATGGTTGGCTTATTGGCATGGTTTCAACTTATTTTAACTAAGTGATAACTTCATCCAGGATTAAACTGTGTTCAAAGAACCCAGTTAGCTGGATTAGGGATGGTATCGTTTCACTTCGAGCGATTCTGGTTCTGTACTGTACTAGAGGGGCGTCTCTGGGGACTCATCTCTAAGGAAAATATCTATTGAATCATTTGTAGACATCATTGGTTTCCCTTCAGTATAAAAGGTGAACATCCGCTCACCTGTGTTTTGTACCTGAGACGTTGCTACTGTTAGCATTAGCTGTATCTGGGGCGTCATTGGTGCTGGGAGAGCGCGACACATTGAACACGGTGCGTTCCTTCAGATTCACACCATGTTGAAGTAAATGCTTCATCATGTTGGAGCTGCTTCCTCCCTCGCACCAAACCTCCTTACTGCAGCTGTTGCATTTTGCTGTGTCGTTCTCTTTTTTAGTGAAGCTAAGCCAAACTTTGGAGTGTTTGCTGCAGTTCAGTCAGGAGCTGAAATATGTAGAAAAATAGGAACTGAGAAGCAGAATCCAAACGCACGGGTCCTAACGAATCAATGGGTCTTGGAAACTTGGTACCGGTTCCTGATACCCAGCCCTCAGCTGGATGGGAACAAAGAGGATCATTCTAGCCTGATAACATTTTAGGCGGCTGTGTCCCCCTGGCTGCATGTCGAAGTGTCCCTGGGCAAGATACTGAACCCGAATTGCCCCCTGTTCTGTTTGAGCACTTAGGCTCAGTGAATGAATGTGAGTGAATGCAGATGTAGTGTAAACGCGTTTTGAGTGGTCGAAAAGACTAGAAAGGTGCTATACAAGTACGGAGCATTTACATTAGTCTGAATTAGTTAAACCACTTTTGAAGAACAGGGCTAGACGTGATCAGTGATGAGGACATGACGTGCATCGTGACCCAGACTGAGCACTGAAACAGCTCCGGTGTTGTTTTCTGTCTGTGTTGCAGTGAACGGAGCAGCGGTCTCGTTTCCAGAGGTGATGGAGGAAACGTCAGAGTGGGTCACAGCCATCGGAGGTGATCAGCACCCTGCACACACACTCAGTCAGCACCATGTAACTGTGTGAACCAATTGGGTGGAGTGTTGTAGTCTTTATTGTGTGTGTGTGTGTGTGTGTGTGTGTGTGTCCAGAGGACTCTGTGGCGTTCTGGCGTGGGGTGAAGGAGGCGGGCCTCCTGGAGGAGGTGGTGGAGGACTTCCAGATAGAGCTGCAGGAGGTGATGAAGGGGCTGCAGGAGAGGGCGTGTGACCCGCCACTACAGGTCAAAGGTCAGAACCATACACACACAGCCAGCTTCATCTGGTACCTGCAGCACCACACACTCTGCTTTTATACTAAACTTTCAAAGTGGCGGTTCCGTGGACTTGGGATCTCACAGAATCTCACGTGACCAGACGTGACAGAAACACAAAAAAAATACAAGAAGAGAATCAAATTGTGGATGAACTCAAGGCTGGATGAACAGAGGGAATCAGCAGTGTAAAAATTCACCTTACACCAAAACAGCAAGGGAAAAGTACAATACGCAAAATACAAGGTAACGGGCGGATCTGATACCTGCTGAGGTGATTACAGCCAGTGGCCTGCTTACTTTAGTTAAACAAATCCTAAATAACCCCAATAAACACTCAATGTAAACAGTGAAGTTACTAAAACAATACAACATCAGCGCTGCAGTAACACCTTTACAACCTAAAACATCCAGAGTGTGGAAGCATTTCTCTCAGCCGAAAAGGTTGTTAACTGCAGCGTCTGCAAAGCTGAGCTTTCCTGGAAACACCGGAGCATCTGAAGAGGAGGCGCGTAACGTTGTTGCTCTGTGGACGATGAAGGCTCGTCTCGGTAAGCTAGTTAGCGAGCTAGCTTCCCATTAAAGCCGTGTTACTTCACGTTATGAGCTGTAACGGTTTCTATACAGTTTTCTTTGGACAGATTTCTTTGGACAGTTTGATTGATTTTTAATGGCGCTGAGAGTAGCACATAATTATGATACACAACGGCCGCGTTCACATTCCAGATGTGCCCTCACTTTACAATCATAAACGATGCATCGCTCATGGCGACGTTCCCAGCTGGAGAATGTGTTGCTGCCGAGTGCGCAAGATTAGACAACACCGGACAATTTCATACTTTCTAAAGAAGAGAAAACAGTTCTTCTATCTATGCGTGAGGCGGTGGGTAATCTGCCCCAAACTCCCTTAAATCAGTCATAGTTTTATGAGTTGTTGAGTTAGGGGAAAATATATAAATGCTGGGAAACGCTGTCTACTATAAAATTGTTATAATAATTATTGACCCCCCCTGTAAATTCAGCAAATGTGATGCATGACGTTATTCCTTTCTTTGTATATGGTGTCAGTTTGTCCCGGTGTGTTGCAGTACTGGCGTGTAAACTGCTCCATCACTAAACAACAGATCCGCTGCTCAGATCAGGACTTGATTTCAGTTGAACTTTCTGTTGATGCAGCAGAAACATTCATTAAAAGATTCATTTTTGAAAGCAGTATTTATTTTATTGTCGTAACTTGTAATTAGCACATGCCTAAAACAACCTCAAGTTTAATTTAAAAGCTGATAGCTAAATGAGACGTATTGTGTAATTTTGCAATTCATAATCCGAATAGTCGATTATTCGTTTCAATAATCGATAGATTAATGCACTATGAAAATTGTTGTTAGTTGCAGCCCTACTGGAGGCTCGGCCGCATTTCGACGCATCAAATAAACATTGCAAACATTATCACCGTTTCCCACACACATTTATCCTTCAAAACCCCGATGTCCCAGCAGATCAAATGTTCATTCAAATAACTGAAATTGTGCGGATTCAAATAGATCTTCTCCTCAGTAGAAAAAAAAACAAAAAAAGATACCAGGTGAAGCCTGGCGAGACGCCGCAGTCAATAATATTCCACAGTTAACTTACGCAACCTGCCACAGTCTGTTTAGCCGATGGGATGATGCAGTAGTCCAGAAAAGTAAACATAAAACATAAAATCCACCAAAAAGTGTTATTTTCTTTGTAGAGTTCGTCTGGCAAGCCTGTAACACTGAACCCACTAAACTCCTACCGCTTCACCTGTTGCACTCCAGAGTTTCCCCCTCAACGTCACTTCCCACTCCCTATCCGGTGTCAAAACAATAATGAGAAGAAAAAAAACCAACACACAGAAAGCATGTTCACCATCACATTAAAAGCTGTACATGAAGGCAGAATAGCCGACTATTACAACCCCCCTCCATCCCAAAGCCAATGCAGCAGGGGGACACATCAGTAGTCTCATGCACGGCCGTAATGATCGCCAACCGGAACTCAGGCAGCCACCGATCCCAGTCCTGATGGTGTTCCCCTACAAAGGAGACGATTATGGTCTTCAGGGTTAGGTAATGATGCCAGTATTCCACTGCCCACACTACAGCCAAGCACTCCTTTTCTGTGGTGGAATACCTCAGATCAACACCATGGAGAGCTCTTGAAGCAAACACAATGGCTCTGTCTTCACCATTGATTGTCTGCATCAGGACAGCCCCCAAACGCACATCACTGGAGTCACAATGCACCTGAAAGCCAGCGTGGGGCTTTGGCTGAGCAAGCACTGGTGGGGACTGCAGTAACCCTTTAAGGTGTTCACTGGGTAGTAGGATTAAGAGAGTTTAGCTCTGAGGGTTTTCTGTATGTAGGTTAGAAATTATACTGTAGATTGCTACAAATATTATATTTGCTTAGTGTTTGGGCCCCTATGTACAAGGTGTCCCTTTTCACAAATCTGCATTTTTTTCTAATGATTTTACTTGTATTTTAATGTTTTGGTGAAAAAACTAAACTGGACTGAACTAATCTGAGCTTGGCATCCTGCGGCAATAAAGAATAAAGTAACACTAAAACTAATAAAAACTAAACTTAAACTAAGCATTTTCAAAAAATAAAAACTAAACTAAATTAGCAAACCCACGTTAAAAACTAAAACAAACAAAAAGTAAGTAAATAAATAAAAAATAGAAACTAATGAAAAAGCCAAACTATAATAACCTTGATTGAGAGTCAGATGTGCCTTGTGAAGTTTTTTAAAGACTGCCTCCAGGTCACACAGATGCTCCTCCGGAGTCCTGGAGAAGAAAATAATGTTATCTGCACTAACCAGCTCAGGCTGTGTGTTCAAAAGGGAAAAGGGGCATCACCTGTTTCCTCAGGTGGGGCTTCAGGACAATTTGGATTACGCACATGAAATCTAAGCCCAGCAGCAAAGGCACGCAAAGTTGATCATCACTGAGTACATGTATGCTGACGATGACATGGGCTTCGTGAAGGGAGAGGAGCAAGGTGGTCGTCCCTATAGCTTTTCTCTCTTGCCCATTTGCAATGATAAACTTTGGAATTTCACTCGCACTCAGTGTCTCGCCTTACCTTCTTTGCGTTGTTCTACAGGGTTTTACTCATTAGGGAGTAAGTGCACCCTGAATCAAGGACAGCATCTTCACTGCAGCCTCGGATGGCTATTGGCACCACCAGGAGATTTGGAACACCAAGAACGGTGGCCACATCCGCACTATGCCCCCGGCCTTGACCATGCTCAGGTTTTTTGCTGGGTCTTTTGGAAGAGCGGTCTGAAGAGTGTGACTGCTGTACACGAGACCAATAATCCTTAGAGTTACTCCAATCCTTCTCAATAAGCAACCCCACCTTGACCATCTGGTCCACAGTAGACACGATGCCCTGCAGCCCACTGGCCAACCTTGGGTTACATGCACGATCTGGTCTTCTGGCACATCTGGTCTCCACTACAGGCAGAGTGCTCGATGATCGTAGGCCAAATTAGTTAGTTAGTTATCTTGCCGCGGGAAGCTAACCACCAGCTTCGTGCAGGACCTTTTAGAACAGCATTGAGTGTGCCTATGAGGTCAGGGTGAGAAGGTTTTCACACTGCTCAATGAAATCAGTGAGATCAGTAGAACCCCTCTGCAGGTGTTGAGAAACTAGCTGGCCTCCAAGAGGAACAACTGTTGTTGCAAGTCTTTTCCAGTTCATTACCCCACTGCTCATCACTTCGCTTTAAGCAGGCCACCACAACCTGGTCAAATGTCTGCATCTTAGTGTCAATATACTCTTTAGCCTCCTTAGCCATTGTCTCAATAGCTGCTCTGAGACCCTCCTCCCGATTGAGTGTGCTGTCAATTGTGTCTTTGAGCCGATTTTCCAAAGTCTCCACCTTCAACTGAAGTTCCTTTATCTGTTCCACCATCGATACTGCCTCAGCATCCTCATCATCATCCCACGGTGGTTGTCGTTCTTCTTCAGGTGGATCTAGATACAAAAAGTCAACATGGAGGTTATTTCTGTGATGCCGCTTTGGTTGTGTCTAGTGGTGAGGTGACTGTGTGGGTCTGTTTCCTCAGGAAAGCTGGCATTTGGTTCCTAGTCTGAGAGAGGAGGCATTTTCTTCATGCGCATCACTTCCCACCATGGTCCCCTGCTGATTTGTGGCAGCCATTGTTGGTATGAACAGCAAAGCAAACAAGGGAGTGCATGTATGTAATGTAGCTTAGGGTGTGTACGGCTATAAAGGCAATGCATTAATGTACATGAGTGAATGTACATGTACTGTTGACTGTATGTAGGTCCATTGACTGTAACCTTAGTAACCTACTACATTTCTGACCCTGCCGACACATTTCATTCAACAGAAAAAAAGTAGTATCCTCAAAACCTCCTTTTTTACAGTACAAAAGGTGTCTATGAAGATTCTCAGTCATCCAGGTCATAGTTATCCAACGAAGGTTAAAGTCAAGGGCAACTGGACTTGGTTGAAGATACTGGAAGACATTTCGTCCCTCATCCAAAGGACTTCTTCAGTTCTGACTGACTGGCAGGGAAACTCAGCTATTTAACCTCAGTGGGGTCGTTTGCCAGGGTCATCGTCATCGTCATACCCAGGAAACTCAACAAACGTAACCTATTGGCCTCAGGTGAAGATACCAACGATGGTCGTTCAGTCTTGGCCACGGGTAGTCTTAACGACTGTAATGACTGTCGTCACAGCAACAAGGAACACTAACGAACCAGCGGTATCGATGACCCAGGATAACGACCCCACTGAGGTTAAATAGCTGAGTTTCCCTGCCAATCAGTCAGAACTGAAGAAGTCCTTTGGATGAGGGACGAAACGTCTTCCAGTATCTTCAACCAAGTCCAGTTGCCTTGACTTTAACCTTCGTTGGAGTACAAAAGGTGTTTGTGGTGAAAACCAAGGCTGTGTCAACTACTTAACATTATTTTACAGCAGGACAAGCAGGTGTACAACAACACCAAAATTAATTAATCCAGATCTCCGTACAGTCAACCTCTGTAATCACCTCAGCAGGTATCAGATCCGCCTGTTACCTTGGATTTTGCGTAATGTACTTTCCCGTTGCTGTTTTGGTGTAAGGTGAATTGTTACAGAAGGTTTATACATTTTATAGCGCAGATACACAACACACTGGAGACGCTTCCCGCTCAGCTCGCTCTCATTGGCTGCTGCAGGGTTCTGATCGGAGGCTCCCTGATTTCAAATTGTAAATATCAAACGAGTTTGAAATCGGGGAACCTCTGATCCAGTCTGCGACCTTCAGGTTGTGTCTGTAAACCCCTCTCACTACAGGATCATTTGGCTCGATAATCTGTTCTGACCAGCCTCTGCTCAAGATTGTTGGGAGGACGAATTGGACCTCGAAAAGTGTCAGATGGATGTGATTTGAGACATCGCTTGAGCACCCTCCATACAGCTCCCTCTGAGACACTAAAGGCTTTATGTTGTTTTAAAACATGTACAGTAGAACTGGAAACACCTGGATACCAGGGCTCTACGCTTTTTCCCAAGGAGCACATGTGCCCCTAAATCAAAATATTTAGGAGCACAGAGAAAAATGTTCAAGTAACATAGTTTAACAAACTATTTATTATATAAATATTTATATTACGTGTGTGCTCCTTCTTCTTGTGAAGGCGCACAGCCATGTGTGAAACCATTGGAGGACTATGGATTTGAAGACCCGTGTATCTGGACACTTGGCATTGGCCTTAATATTTTTTCGAAAGCTTTTTAAAATATTGAAACAGATGTTTTGAAAATTTTTGAAATTTAAAACACTCACACTCAAAAATCACTCATCACAAAAGACCTTACTGTGATTGGTGCTTGTGTAGTTTTTGAACCATGGATGGATTCAAGATATACCAGCAGCACCCACACAACCCACACCATACCTAATGTAAACAAGACTTCTGAACGGTATTACAGTAACTTTAGTAAAACAGAATAAGGGGAACGTGTTGCTCTAGGGGCTAGAAGGAACACACACTGGCATCCCGTGCAGTGGAAATCTGCATTTGCCCACTGCAACTTTCCACTTTCACTAATTTAATCTAATAGTATACTGTTAATATGTTAATATATTAATTATATAATTGTTCTATATGCATTGTCATTTTATATAGGCCTAAAAGTAGGCTATACTATATAGCCCACCACAAATATAATATTAATTCCAGTTGGACCAAACAGCAGTTTCATGTTTCTGAGTAGTTTAAATCCTTGTGCAAGAAAAATGGCCTACATTGGTCTCTTAATTTGTTTATGCTACTATTTCATCAATAATCAGAACCATTCATGTAGCTGGAGTTCAACATTTGAAAGTTTACTGTAGCACGTCAAGCCTTTTTTATGTCCTGACCCATCCAGGCTGTGATTGGTCAGTTGACGAAAAGTGACTTTAACAATCACATCGATTTTATGAAAAGATTATAGTAGGTTTTCGTTCGTTAAAACATATGGAAACGCACTTGACTGTATGAAATTTGAGACATGTCTGCTTTCCAGTGAACATTGCAGTTTCGCTTTTCAGATGCTGTTTTGCTGAACAACACAGTGCAGAACTTTGGGATGTTGGACCTGGTGAAGAAGGTTCTGGCGAGCCATAAGAGCCAGATGGACCGTTACAGAGAGCAGTACACGCGGAGCCTGGCCTGTCAGTAGGACGCTCTTCTATAGTCCTGTTGTTAGAACCTGTATCTGTAAGTGTTCTGTCTGTTGCTGACGCCTCGTCTCCTCCTGCAGCTCTGGAGCAGCAGTGTGACGAGCACAGGAAGCGAGCCAAGGAGCTGAAGAGCAAATCCCAGCACCTGAACAACGTCCTAATGACCCTTACCCCGGTCCCTGCACCCCCTGCACCCAAGCGTCCCCGGCTGACCCGTGCCGTCTCCGGTCCGGCCTCGGTCAACGCCACTCCAGCCCAGATCACTCTGCCTCTGAACCAGCTGACCAGCCTGCCGCTGGGCAAGGTGCTGACTGTCGCGGGGGGCCCAGCTGGCACCAACCTGGGGGGCTACACACTCCTGACCTCCTCGCTCTCTGGGTCGGAGTTGACGGGCGACGCCTCTAACCTGACTGTTCTATCCGCGGCAGCAGGTCAGGAGGGCACCGGCTCCTTCGTGAAGGTGGTCGGCCCTCAGTTCCAGCTGGTGACGCTGCCGGCCCCGCTGCAGAGCTTGGCCACCGCAGTGCAACAGCAGGTCAGCAGCATCAGTGTGGTGGACGCCACGGCAACCGATTCACAAGAGGACGACCAGGCGGACGGCGATGACGAAGGCCAGCCAGAGCAGGTCAAAGAGGAAGAGGGGGAGCAGTGAGGCAGCTGCTCCTGAACGGCCTTCACCTCATCATCCTGGACTCTGGACTGAGTGATGGCTCGTCCACTTTCTGACTTCAGACCGCGGCGTGTTCAACGCTTGAGCCTCCCTGTTACACGTCCTTCAATGCAGTTTGTCAGAGTGGCGTCTGATGTCCGCTGTAAATATGGATTTGTAAATAATATATTTGATACAGCTGTTTGTGTAGGGATGTGATCCATTTAAGCTGGAGACAGCAGCGTCGTTCAGTTTGGTAATAAATGTTCAGTTTTCCAGAACAGTGTCTTTACGTCCTGTTCAATATTAATATCATCCTGTCTTATCAGTGTGAAGTGGATGCAGAGGAACTGGGACTTTTTTACCTTTTCCCTTGTCTCTTTTCATCCCTCTAAAGGAGGAGAAAAAGAGAAAGCAGCTCGCCATCTTCAAGTCTTAATGACTTACCAGATTCTAAATTCATTAAGACAATAAAAAGGTTACCAATGTTTTGCCACCTCCAAACATTAACTTGGCATTTTCCCCTGAGAAGAGTGATATTGATCATCAAGCTTTTATTTATATAATTTATATTTCCCAGGAAGTTATCAGATGAATAAAGAGGGCAGTTTTACACTCTGCGTTGCATCTAGACTTAGATGTTAGGAGGTAATGTGATCGACAGTTTATACCATATGACTGCAGTTTCATGGGGTAGGTGTGTTGGGAGCCCTCCCAGCATGCACTGGGGCAACAGATTGTTGCTCCACCATTTTTTCACCCGTCACTGCAGCTGTCTGACTTTCAGTGATTATCAGAAATCAATCAGATACAGGCTTAATCACATAAACTCTTTTCATCAAAGTGAGTTCTGCAGTTTTAGTTTTTAAATTAGAGCTCTGTCCCTGCTGGTCTTTAACAGTCAGAATCTTTGAGTTTAGTTATATGGTTCAGTTTATTAAACCACGTTTTTAGTGTAGAGGCTTTTATTTTGTTGAATATTTCATCAGGTATAAGTGCAGGTACCTCTTCTTAATTAAAGTTACACAGACAGATCATCATGTTTCTCAGTAAGCTGCATGTTTCCATCTCAGAATGATCAATTCTTTGTGGTTCAGTCTAAATGTCTCTGCTGTCAATGCCCCTCTGCAGGTTTGGGTTTAAGGACATGTTGCTATGATGACAGTTCCAGATTACTTTTTAACCAGCTTCTAAGAACCAGAGGATCCAGAGATCAACTCCATAATGTGGATTCCTCAGTTACCTTCCCCTGCTGCCTCAGCTGATCAAACAGAAGATGATTTATGGATCTGCACCATGTGACCAAAACACCAGCTAAACCAGGATGTGCCGGACAGTCATGCAGGAGACGCACTGATCATTTCAGCTTTAATGTAGCTTCTTAATCAGAATACCAAAAGCTGCCAACAGAACACAGTTGTCTGTTTAATGAACATTTTTTGACCCAGTAGGAGAAACGTGCTTGGCCACAAGATGGCGCAACAGTCTCCCTGTTCAGGGGCTCCCTGCTGCTCCGACCTGGTCTGGCTTTTTGGTTCTCCTGCTCCCAGATGTGCGGATCTGTCGTCAGGCTGCCCGTTGGAGTGTTTGCATAATCATTTGATTGATCAGGCTGATGAACACCGACTGTGAAGGTCTTTGATAGACTGTCTGACAGAAATGATCAGTGATCAGTGTGAATTCTGGTTTTGCTTTACAGATAGATCAAACTTTAGGCAGCAACACCGTATGGTTGGTGGTTTGACAGTGAAGGTCAGGTAATGGGCAGGCTGTACATTTGCCAGTTCTGAGATTAATTTCAAAGATCAATAAGCTCAGGGTAAATTTGGCACAAACGCCCCCCACCCTACTGCTTTTCAGTATTTTGTTTCACCTTCATAGTTCCCCAAACAAGCCAACCTTAAATCATAGGATAGGCCTACAATTAGGATGTGAACCACATTTAGAGTAGAAATTTAAAATGTATTTAAAGTGCCGCTCAGTGTTTTTAACGTATGCCGATTTTTTTCTATCTTTTTACAGACACTCGTCACGTCCAGGTCTGTCAATAAGAAAATCGCCTTTTTTCTAAATGGAGTTTGGCACGGTGCAACGGAACGCACTGAGGCTGAATTCAGTCGCACAACTTCTTCTGAACTTGTTGGACAACAAAAAAAACGTGTTTTTATTCATAGTTTTATGAAACAAGCATCCTTTATTGAATGAAAGACGACGATGCCAAGAACACAGAGATGAGAGCAGTTATACAGAAGGCAACCGAGCAGGCTGGAAGCAAGGCAGGCAGGTATATGATGCTTGCTGGATAAATGGGGGTTATTTCACGTGAACCTGCACAAGTTCGTAGTAGTTTTTTCTCTCAGCAGATTTCCTCTATAGGCTCCAGTCGTCATAGGAGTAATACGGCTCCTCCGCTGAGCGCACTGACACTTTGAACTGGCGGCGCAGAAAGCCTCCGTACCGCTTGTCCCACTTCAGGTTGTTCAACTTTGGTCGGATTCTCCTCATGAAGCCTCCGTAGCGCTTCTGCAGCTCCTCGGGCTCCTCGCTCTCCTGCTCCACAGAGCTACTCCTCTTTGACTTGGGGCCGAATTTGCGTAAAAAGCCGCCGTAACGTTTAACCAAACTGTGGAGCATCTGATCCGCATCGCCTGCATCGTCTGCAACACCCCTTTCCTCCAGGCTCTTCCACAAGTCCTCGTATTTCTTTGGCATCCCTCCGGCCTTCAGAATGAAATTGTCGCGCCATGGAGAGGCGAAGATCTTGTTCTTGTCGATCCTCTTGATGAAGCCGCCATAGCGCTTGACCAGGTCGGCCTGCTGGCTCTCCTCCTCCGCTGCAGCCTCCTCCTGGCTGAAGTCCGCCAGCCCCGGAGCCCGTCCGCAGCTCTCCAGCTGCCCCTCACACTCCGGACCGCACCCCTGCAGGAGACGCACAGAAAGGCGTGAAACACCCGACATGCCTGCGCACACGCGTCAACACAGTGAGGCGCTACTAGAAGGCAGCCTCACACCTTTATTGTTTGTTGAGTACATTTTTAAGGGTTTAATGGTCCGTTTGAGCAAACAATCTGAACCCCAAGTTTCTCGTTAGATTTACAGAGTAGCTGTGAAGAGCTATCTTTCTAATCTTTACACAGTCCAAAGCTTTACTGCTTCTAAAGAAAGATTCACACCCAAGATGCCATGACTTTACGCCCCACAGATTCTGGGTGTTTACTCATTCAGTCGGACACATTTGGTGTCTTTAACAACTGGATTTAGGAAACAAAGGATAAAAATTAAATAAAAGTTCTGTTGGACAAATAAAATAATACTTTTTGAAGTTTCATGATTTCAGATGTCAATTCCAATGAGTGTAATTTTAACTTTTAAAAAATGCAATAAAAGCCCGATAAATCCTTCAACCAGCAAGAGTTCGTTTCCACTTGTCTCGGAAAACGTAAAGTCAGTCAGGTGAGGCTGTCTCTGGTCTTACCAGGTTGTTAAAGACGGCTTCGGAGCTGAGCATCTGCTGCACGCATTGCTGACACTGTGAAGAGCAATCTGCGTGGATGGAGGGCGGCAAGCTCAGCATCAGCACCAGGACATACCACTCCATTCTTCACCAGATCCCTGCCACACACACAAAGAAAACACACGCAGTGTCGGTGAGTCTGGATGAGATCAGACCCGCTTTCTTTGAGGACTCACAGACCCCAGACATTTATGGCATAACTTCACCTGCACTGATGAAAAGACTTGTTTCTTGGACACATCCTTAATTTAGTCAGTTTTAATAATAACTCATTAAACACCCCATGTTTCTGATCAATGGAGATCGCGCGCGGTGCGTAATCGCGCACTGGCGCCTTTGTTATTTAACACCAAGCAGAGAAAGAAGTTCAGACAGACAGTCACGTAGAAAGTGTTGAGTCAGTACCTCAGGAGTTGGACAGATACTTCCAGCCGTGTTAAGACTCGCAGAGGTGCATCTACCATCAAATGGAAACTCGCTGTCCGCCTTCCAACACTCGTGTTTCTGTCTTTTATCGCCGGAGACTCGGCTGTGTCACCGCAGCGCATCACAGCGGCTTCAGCTGAGGGACCAATGGGAGGGAGACAGACTGCGTAAATAATCTCACCGCCTCCCGGCTCCAGGAGTTTTTAACAACGCCCACACAGAGAAGGTAGCAGCAGCGCACTTCATCCCATCATCATCATCATCAGTCCGCCTCTGGGGAGACTGGATCAGACCCCAGGCTGTAAATCACACAGACACCAATGAACTAAGCGTTTATTCTCTGAAATACAGAGAGAACAAGACCTGTACTGAAATCTGAACACTGATATGAAAATACGTGATGTTTTATGCGTACACCTGGTAGGGGTGGGTATTTTAATTAAAATGCTCCTGCAGTAAAAAATATTTAAATTTATTTATATTTATTTAATTATATTAAATTATTATAAAAACAATTAAGTCCTTATATTAACATTTATGTTCACTGTATTATTGTATTTCATTGTATTGTTAAAGGGGCATTATGGAGTTTCCGGTGATTGAGATTGCAACCAGGCGTGCATAAGCACTTTCACACAGAAATACCACAATACAGGCAGGAACACCGGCCTTTCTCCAACAGGTTCAGGCCATAGGTTCAGGCTCTGTTACTTCAACGTTCCCGCCTCAGAGGCAGATCAACACCAGTACCTTTCATTCAGCGCAGCGAGCCGCATATCGGCACAATCCTCCTGAAAAAAGGCAGAGTGACAGCGGCTATAGACAGACAGGGAGAACAGACAGAGCTGGAAACTCAGGTAAACTCCCACTGCAACGTTACAGTAATAGTATTATCAGCTGCAGGCTGAACTAACGGTACATTTACTGCATTTAGCCGACGTGCTACATCGTTAGCTCGCCTTCTTTACTATCTGTCAGAGGTGGGACCAAGTCATCGTTTTACGATGTCCGAGTCAAGTCTCAAATCGAGTCCCAAGTCCAGACCGATCATGACTGGCTTGTCCGAGTCAAGTCTCAAGCCAAGGACCAACAAGTCCAAGTCAAGTCCAAGTCTTAAACTTTGAGTTTCGAGTCCTAAACTAGTCATAATGCGCTCTTCACCAAATGTAAAACCATTTCAAAAGTTAAAAATAAAAATGCATTGAATGAAGCATTAGCCTGTACAGAAAGAAGGCAGAGGTGCAGTTTCACACAACAAATGTTCTATAATTTCATGAATTAAATAAAATGTTCATGTAGGGCTGCTGATTATTTTGGTCAATATTAAGATCACAATTATTTAACAGGATTAGACCTACTCCTTAGGAAACATTAAACTATTGAACTTCTAAAATGTAAAACTTTATTTTTAAAAACTATTTTATATGCATTACTCCAAAATCTCATATAGCCCATGAAATAAGAAACGATAATCCAACATTATTAATTTTAAGCAGCGTCTAGTGTGCAAGAGGACGACAGCTGCACAGTTACCCCAAGTTGACAGCTGTGGGTGAGGGATGGGTCACTGAGGGGGCTCTGTGTGTGTGTGTGTGTGTGTGTGTGTGTGTGTGTGTGTGTGTGTGTGTGTGTGTGTGTGTGTGTGTACACGGAGGGGAGCAGAGCAGGTGACAGGTGAACTATTGGACTTGACGAAGTTACGTTACAGAACGCTGAAATAAAACCATGGTGTTTTGTCGGGAGATGCAGTGACAGAAACCAGCGGTGAGAAAACTATAAATCACTATGATGTTAGAAGCTGCAGACACCGTGGATATTTTACAAGCACCGATCAGGTAAAGCAACACTGAACAACCGTTGTGAAGTTAGTTTTAAGTTGGATATTCGACAGACATTCACCCAGGATCCGGTGACTGCTTCTTACTCAGTTCACCCAGTGTCGGCAGTATAAATGTGGTTAGCTCCCCTCCGACAGCTCGCTTTTAACCACCGGGGACCCCCGCTTAGGGACCATCAATAAATTACAATTGTTAAAATAGTGTTATTGGAAAATCATCATTTATTTCAATAGCTTCCATGTCATGTGATCCAAAGACATCAAACCCATGCTGAACTGTAGAGCTACACCTCTTTATTTTAGATTTGAGTTCATATTTAATTTAATATGAATATTTATTAATATTTTATGGAAGAAAACGCGCCTTTTTTCAATAGCTTCCATGTCATGTGACCTACCAACTCCAAACTAATGCCGAATTGTAGTACTACACTAGGCAAATCAGACACACCTCTTCATATTAGATTTGAGTACTTGTTTTATTTTATATTAATATTTATTATTATTATTTTTTTTCAATAGCTTCCATGTCATGTGATTCATGGACCAATTTTCTCCAATAAAATATTATTAAACATGGAAGCTATTGAAATAAATCATGATTTTCCAATAACACTATTTTAACACTTGTAATTTATTGATTTTCCCTAAGCTGACCCCCTGTGGTTAAAAGCGAGCTGTCGGAGGGGAGCTAACCACATTTATACTGCCGACACTGGGTGAACTGAGTAAGAAGCAGTCACCGGATCCTGGGTGAATGTCTGTCGAATATCCAGCTTAAAACTAACTTCACCGCGGTCACTGAACACACCTTTTAGACAAGGAGGAGCGGCTCAGCTGTAAAGGAGAGGTGTGCTGGATTTATAATACAAAACGAGTGTCGTTGTGAAACAGCACCCGGCGCTATTATCGTTTTATCTTAATGAACTTGTTTTTATAATTGGTGGAAGCAGCTTCATGCAACAGCTGCGGCATTCTCTCTACACTGTTTCGACCTGACCTTTCTTTTCTCCGTGAGGTGGAGGAATTTAGAAAGTTGTGTGGCACTGTGTCAGCTGAGCTGTTGCATGAATTATGCGTAAAATTCATCCAGCCAGAGGGTCCGATCACAAATGGTTCACAGCGTGCCGGTAGTAGGCCTACTACACAACCCATTGTAGGTACCGGAGAGGGGGTCGCTGGGTCGCTGGGGCGTACAAGGCCAGGGACAGGAGATAGCGGAGCAGCCGGCCGCGCTTCGGACAGTCGCGCTTCGGACCGTCGGTGATTGTTCCCTCTTGCTGGAGGAAGCCACACGCTCCAGTCTAATTGAGCACCGAGCTATGTTGATGCGCTGCGCAAGTTTATATCATAATTTATATTTGGGCATGGGGAGTCAAGTCAGCTCAAGTCAAAAGGCTCAAGTTCAAGTGAAGTCACGAGCTTTACTAATGCTCACTATGTTCTTACTCAACATCATCTGAACCCGTTTGGTCTGATGGGCTTCAGCACGTACACCTTTATTGTTGTTTTGGATCCTTACGTTATGGTGTTAGTGGACTGCATGTCGTTAGCTGCCGTGTTGTCCCTGTAGTATGAGAGGCTCGGGAGCGCGCACAGGGCTGAAAAGCAGAATAGTGGCTGATGCAAGCAACGGAGAAAACAGGCATGTGCTTCATTTTTAAGTGAGTTTTGAGCCCATTGGCAATAAGGCAATGGAAATTTGATTTATTAAAATCAAAAACAAACATATAACCCCTTTAAGTTTCATGCATTGCAATTTAGCTTGAAGGGCACACTATAAATAAAGTCTGGCTTGGATTGATTAGATTTTTATAGCCTTTAAGGAATATATTCACATGAAATCTGATGGAAGTAGTTCTGTGAAGAACCTGAGAGAGAAGTTTACACCCTGCCTACACACTAAAGTGGACGTGATTATCAGACTGTCTGTTTAAAAGCTGTCTGGTGCAGCCACCCCTGATGTGGGGCTGTTGGAGAGGAGGTTGGAAGCACTGCATATGAAGCATACTTAGGCCTTACTTAGCATAATGCTGGGGCCAAGGTAGAAGAACCGCCACTTGTGCCTCTGGGTTCCAACCAATTCTACCACCACCGCACACATAATGAATGTTCGAAAAACAAACTATAAAGCAGGATAGGCCGCCTTTCTTAAGACCTGCCTTGACAGCAATCTGTGCAAACGTCAAAGGCTTTTCAACTGCAAATCAAGTCATCGTGGTGGAAGTGTGACGTCCTCTGTCTACAGGGGGCTCACAGAGTCAATAAGACAATAAACTCTCAACCATACCTGGTGTGATCCTAACAACTGAGTGGCCCCATCGACAATATGGCAAGTCAAAGAAGACTGCGTCAAGACACTTCCCACAGGGATGTAGAGTGGAGCACAAACCAGGACTATCCAAGGAAATGAAAGAGCTCTATGAAGAAGACAATCAAGACCCTGGAGTCACAAAACCTCACATTAGATGAGTTGGAAGTCTGCGACTCCTCACTAAAAGCAGGAAAAGTGATTAGACTTGATTAAATCTCAGCTAAGCAGCTAAGACACTGATGTGTGGACTGGAAATGCCTTAACCGACCGGGACCTGCAGGGGCCGACTGGGGGAAAAATGGCCCAGGAATTTGTTTCCGGTCAGCCCACTCTCTGGACACAGCATTGGTCAGGGGCTCCGAGTCTTTAGAGGTTTTATTCCTGCATTCTTGAGAATTTTAATCCATCAGGCAGGTAGGCAGCAGTAGCAGAACAGTTTCATGTAGACAGCAGCTAAAGCAGGTTGAGAGTTAACAGCATTTATCATTTCAGTAGTTTTTGTTTCCTTAACCCAGAAACAGATCTGACTTGTGGTTAGCCTCTAAGCTAATCAAACCATAAACAGGAAGCCATCATATTAACGTCTCATTGATCCCTGTGGAGCTGCTAGTAACTGATGTAACGGTTGAAGCAGCAGAACCAAAAGCACTTTGCACCTGCCTCGAGCCTATTCTTTTTTTCCCCACCTTTATGTTCCGTGTTTTTTATCCATGATCTTTGAAGGTTAGGGGTTAGGTCCACTTTTTCTGTTTGATTATGTTCTGACGGAAGTTTGTGATTGATTGACATAGCCAGTCATATTAAAACAGCCCTGCCCGGGCCCCATCCCGTCTGGGCCAGTAACCACACAGTATGGGCTAGTCCATCAAGGCACAAAACAATCGATTTCAACTGTAGTTTTTTGTCTCTATTTTAATACTCTGTGGTTTATCGGCCCAATTGTCTAGCGGCTGACTGGGAAAACTCCCGGTACTGCCAATGACCAGTGCACCCTTGGTGATCGGGAACTGGGAGATGCAAGGTAACACTGCAGAAATGGGGTTACCTGGGGATCAAAGACGTGACG